TGCCCAAATTCATCCAACTAAAAACATTTCTACTCTATTTTTTTCCATGGCCAATAGCTGGGCCAAGTACCGAACCACCAGTACTTCCTAAAGTCGTGCCCGTTAACGCGTCACGATTTTAGAAAACGTACGGGCCACTACAGGAGCGCCCAAATTCATCCAACTAGAAATGTTTCTACTCTATTTTGTTTTACAGCCAATAGCTGGACCAAGTAGAGGTTGTTGTAGAGGCCAAATTCCCACCTATAGCCGGTACTGTTATAGGAGCGTCGGAACCGGTAGGTTTCCCTAGGGACCGCCCCCTAGTGCTATTCCGAGCACGCTGGAACTGGCGGTTGGCTACCAGGGGAGGTGGTGATATCCTGGTGACGGTATTTCATTACGCCTATCTCCAGTCTTGGCACCCTCCCACCCCATCCAAGACTTCAAGGCTCCCATCTGTTCACATTTCAGCCATGTCGGAAGCTTACCTCCCTGACTACGCTTATCCCTAGTTTTGGCACCCTCCCGCCCCATCCAAGACTACCGGTAAGCTTTCCAGGGGACCTAGTCCTGGCACCCTCCCACCCCATCCAAGACTACCGGTAAGCTCCCCTGAGGACCATCCCATGTACTATTCCAACTCAATCATCTAATGGGCACACTGGCGGGCGACAGAGAAATGCCACCCTACCCATCCTCACATTAATTCTCCTAGTGTATCCCCTACAACTACTATCCTACCTCAATGACCAGCATTTAGGACAATCACCCACATGATAACATTGACCAAACAATAGTTACAGGCACGAGACTAGAGAGTAACCCCACCAGTCCTAGTGGAAGAGCAGTCGTGCAAGCCTTGTTACCCGAGGACTTTGGTCGCCGGGCACACTCGATATCTCTATCAGTCCTACCGACGAACCAGGTCTCAAGTAGGTGTTACGTATGAGGTAGTGCGAACCCCCCGTGGCCCTTACAACCTAATCCATGAGAACCACTACCAAGGATTGGTCTCCCCCGCCCGAACATGTATATATATATATATATGGATATATCCTACTGGACTCGATCCTATGACTGCAAGTGGAAGTGAGATGATCGAAACCATTTGTTTTATATATGCCCGCGGGCAACATATGATATTATTGAGTGACCATGTAGTCATGTGAAATAGTTGTACGTATGTGCGGGTAACACTGAACCAGACTTGATACCAAGACCTATCGTGTGTGATTGTGATAGACTATTGGATGTACTAAGCAATATTATGGGCAAGAGAGATCAACAGTGAGGCTATTACCGAACATCCTCAAGAGCCAACGAAGGCAGAATCCAGCATTTGACAACCACGATTACAGACCCTTGGGTGGTGCGCAGGCAGTGTCTGTATAAGCTTACCACGCGTCAGCCCATGGGTATGTGTGTCCAGTCGTGTGTCATTTTAACGCCCTGTCGGTGTCCATGCGCAAATGGTGGGATTGGTGGTTTAACCACTGAAAGTTTTGGTCTGGAAGAGACGATGTCACAGGAGAGCGCTGGGTCTTATTGGGAACCTTGCCAGAAGGGATGTCCACAGAGAAAGGATGGGGATACACGACACAAGTTTGCAAGGTCGTAATGCTCTAGGTAATATGGGTCAACCGCAATGAGTTGCATTTCAAAGGCAGTTGCCAATTTGAAGCCCAGAGTGAGAGAATGTTTAAAAAGTTATTGCAAGAGGAGATTCCCGTGGATTAGAGAAAGAAAGGCCAAAACGGCAGATTCAGGAAAGGAGTGGCATGATTCCGCTCAACTTAGTGTCAGAGGGAGGGGGTGGTCAGGATTTCAACGAAAGAGAGATTAATATTTTCAAGTTGGTGGGAAAGAGGGGGGGGGTTGGACTAGAATAAGGGTTAGGAACATTATATTTTCGGTTTTGTGTGGCTTTGTAGGCCATGTGGGCTTCATTTTAAGAACCAAGAGCACTCAGTTTCAGTCGGCAGTCACAGTAGCGTGCAAACGGCCGGATTGGAAGGGAGAGTGCCATAAAGTTATTGAGGAGCACGGGTTCCTCTCGGTCGTACCGGGCCGGGGTCAGACCGCTTTAGATCTGTGAAGTAGGACTAGAGATAGATTTAGGGATAATAGGACTAAAGGTAGTTAGGACAGGTTAAGTAGGATTGGCAAATAAATTTTAATTAGTAACTATTTTGGACTTATGGAAGAGATAGGAAATGTTAGTGTGCATATTCATAAGCGAAACTGGTTGAAGTTGCCAAGGTTTCTCTGGGTCGAATTGTGAGGTCCCCGACCTCAATCATCTGGTATTTGGAATGAATTACCGTATGAAAATAATTAAAAAAAAAACAATATATAGGTTTTGGGTTTGAAACCCCGATATATCGGTATTGGGTTAAATACCCCGATATAGAGGTCCTGGGTTCGAAACCCCAATAGGTTTGGAGTTTGAGTCCAGGTCCAAGCCATCGGACTTCGATTCAACCCACATAAACCACCAGCTCGGCTGAGCCTATCTGTATGCAACTACTGTAGTTTTCGGGGCTCACGAGCCTTCAACTGGGCATCTTCATAGTGGACTGCACAAAACACCACCAGCCTAAGCTCGAAGTCGTATGCTCTTAGCCTCATATACCAGTAAGAGCCCAACTTGCTTATGCTCTCATCCGCATACGCCGGTAAGAGCCCAACTTAGGCTTGGACCCCATTGCAAGGCGGTTGGAAAACGTTTGATTTGACCCCGCAAAAAACTGAGGGACCGTCCTGTAAAAGGAAATATCGGACTCCATTTCGTGCACATCCCACCGCGAATACGAATTGTCAGGACTGGAAAAAATGCCACATTTATGAAAGAAAAAATGTTACTGGGCCGTCCAGAAAAGTAAAGTGTGAAGGAGAGGCTGGTCCACCGGAGAAAACACGCGCATTGCACCCCCCACCCCGATTTGGGACAGTGTGGTCTCGGTTGTGATGCTATCCTTTCTGCCTAAACTGCCTTTATGCAACCTATAAATATCGCATTCAAATACAACCCCCCCTATTCGAGATGAGGGCAGATCACAGTTAGACTTAGCATACTGCTGCATGCACAGCAACCGTGGGTAGTAACGAAGCAACATAGTAATGCACAACACCAATGCAATAACACACAGCGCCGCACAACAAGGCTCAACGACGCGCAGTGCAAACCACAACACAACACAGACAAATGAACACACACAACCTGTTGCAAAATAGACGCGAACATGTGACCCTTACGCAACTAGACTCGCAACAAACAACAATAATTAAACAATCAACAACTGTTAAAAGTTGCCACGACCAACTTGAAAAGCACCGTCGCCCATAGAATCAAGAATTAACTATCAATTTGTCAATCCTTACGATGTCTGAACCCGAAGAGCTTCAAACAATCGTGCATCCATCACTCACCAAATGTACAAAATGAGAAAGAACCTTCTCATATAACCGAGACAATACACTACCACTTGGACATTCCCTGCTGCGCCCACCACTCTCTCTCTAGGACTCGGTCAGATACACCGCCCTCCAGCCGCGCATGGCGGTTGTCCAGCGTCGAGAGATTAACCCTCAAGACGCGTGTCAGCCGACACTTGAGTGTCGAACGCGACCCTCGAGATTAACGAGGATCGCCTGAGTAAGGGTACTACATAGTACGCCATTGTCGGGACTGCCTGCGTACGCTTGCATTCCGAGTCGATATGAGTTAGCCTGCGTCCGCGCGGTTTCATACTAAGTCTCCCGCGCGACGTTTATTCGATTTCCGCATTGGAAAGTTATGGGTTGGCTACCGAGGGGCTAGGAGCGTTGTCGCGTTGTTTGTGTTGTGTCGTTTCGTATGTGTGTGTGTATGTGTGTGTGTGTGTGTGTGTGTGTGTGTGTGTGTGTGTGTGTGTGTGTGTTTTATTTTTGTGTTCGTAAAGAGGTGTGCGCGTGGTGTGTGGGATGCGTCCTAGTCGACCGACGTCGAATCGCGCTTGGGACTTCAACCCCCCAAGATGATGATTCGCGTGCGGATCCAATAGAGGCGTATTACCACGCGTACCCCCTATGCTACAGCGAACGAGAAACGCCCTCGGCTGGTCCACCTCTGCGATTGCAGTTGATTAACTTTCGTACTGTGGACTGGTAGCTCGGCGGGGATATGCCCACCGAAGGGAGGTGACAGCTCCCGTAAGGTATAGGTAAGTCGTGCCTCGCGTAGGCCCTATCCTGTTGTAGGGGCTCGCGAGAGGTATGGCTGGCGCACTCGGCCAGAGCGGCTTAAGAAAGTTCCACATGTATTATCTGCGACGAAGGATTTAAACCAACTCCTGCGTGACGCGACCGGGAGGGTCCCGCGCTACCCTGGTGTGGTGCCGGACCGATGCGCTTGACAGGTGGCGTCGTTGCCAGGGATAACGAAAAGCCTAGCGTTGTCCCTGGTGGAACGACATCCGGATATGAGAAGTGAATAAGAAAAGGCATAAAGGAAGGATAAGAAAGTGAGGAAAGATAATGAACGATTGAGTATAGGTGAGGAAATTTACCTACCTGAATAAGGGAAGGTATGAAGGGCGAACGTGTAGCATTGGGTAAAGGTACGTAGTAAGAGTTAGGTAGGACGGATGGAATAGACCGGTCAAGGTGCGATGCTGAATAAAAGAGGTATGCTTGTTTTTTCTTTCTTATCAGGGAGCTTGAAGAGAAAGGTCTGTCAAGTTGTCGCAGGGCGGCGGCGCATCGGGTGGTCCCAAGAAGGGCCTGACGCTCGATGACCTCATTGCGGCCATTGACTAGCATGAAAGGAACCCGAGCAATATCCCTAAAGTCGATACCTTCCACTTTTGTGGGGAGAGGGTTTCAGAATGGCTGGAGCTGGTGGAACAAGCGTTGGTCGGGCGGTCGGACGTTGTAAAGTTTCAACGCATTCTTCAGTATGTCCTCCACATCTACCACCAGGAAGTGAAAAAAGTCATAGATGCGGCGCAAGGTAGTTGGGAGAGGTTAAAGGAGGGGGTGCAGAGGAAATACCGCTTGGGAGACGGGCTATTGACTACCGCGGACCTTGAGGCAATGAACAAAGAGGATTTTACGACGATAGGGACCTTTGTTCAAAAATTTAAGAAGAGGGCGCGGAAGGTCCATGGGATTTCGGAGGAAGCACAGTGCGTCATCTTCCTGGGGCTACTCACGGCATCGGAGGCCATCGAGTTGACGAGGCATGGAGGAGGTAGCACCAAGCTCACCTGGACCACCATTGACAGAGGGGTGGAAGTTGGGTGTTTGGACCAGGTGGAGCAACGTCAGGTACGCCTGCAAAGGCAGAAGAGAAAGGAAAGAGATGCGACCGCTTCTGGGACCCCGGGGGTAACAAGGATTGTTACAGACGTATTGGCACAGCTGGGGTATGCGACAGAGCCGGTGGTGCAAAAGAGGGTAGTAACGGCTGTCCAAGTGAAAGGAACGGAGCCGGTGATAGAGGAGGCTGTTCAGGAGGAACTCTGGGAAGAGGAAGAGTCGGTGCCGCAGCGCCTGACGAAGGCCCAGCGCAAAGTGCGTAACTTGGCGCAGGGCGGACAGGGATCAGGAAAAGCGCAGGCGCCTCAGGCCTTGACAGCAACCCCTTTGAATGTGGCGGCCCCATCATTTAGTACGGGCCCCTCGCAAGGAGGGGTGCCCTCCTACGGACAGTGGCCCTGGCCGATGATCAATGCAATCATACCATGAGGTAGCCCGCCACCAGTAGCCGGACCGCAAACGAGTATGCCGCCACCCATCTACCCCGCAGCCCAGACCCAGCCTGTGGCCCCGCCACCGTCACCCGCTCCCAGTTCACAAGGAAGCGTGACTGGAGGTGGGAACCAGGGGCAGGGCAATCAAGGCAACGGAGGGGGGGGTGGAGGAAGGGGACGAGGCAGGAATGGCGGCGACAGAGGAAGGCAATGGAATGGTCAAGGTCAGGGGAATCAAGGCCAAGGGTACCAAGGTCAGGGGTACCAAGGCCAGGGGTATCAAGGCCAAGGGGACCAGGGAAGTCAGGGGTATGGAAGACCCCGTTTTGACTAGAGGACGGTCATCTGCCAACATTGTGACCAACAAGGCCACACTATAAGGTTCTGTAATATAAGACGGGAAGACGAGAGGAGCGGGCTGATTTCCTCCACTATGGATGGGAATATCTACGATCAGTTTGGGGAGGTCATTGACAGAAGGCTTGGAGGAGTGAGGGCGGAAGCCCAACGAAGGGCGGCAGCTRGGCCGCCACCCCCTGCCATGTTCAGGCTATGGCAGGAGAAGAAAGGACCGTCGGTGGGGATAGAGGAATTCAGGTTATGGCAGGAAAAGGAAGAACCACCGATTGGGGTAGAGGAAGTTGGAAGCGATGAGGAAGTGACTCAAGAGCCACGAGGAGGAAGTAAGGGGGAAAAACCCATAATCATTGAGTCAGATGACGAGAATGAGGAAGAAAGGATGGAACCTTCGTCCGTCTTGTTGGGGAAAATGGAGGACCTGCTGAATAAGATGGGGAGGTACCAACAAAAGTTGGCAACAAAAGTTGGTGGGCCTCTGTGAGAAAGTGAGGAAATGAAAATCTAAATCCTCAAGGTGTTCCTCTACGACTCTGGTCCGGAGTCAGCTTTTGGGCGATCGAGAGTAAATGTGGTGGGGTCGTGCCCACAATCGGGAATGATGGGGAGACCCCTCACTCCGCAGGCCCGGCTGACGCAGGCAGCACGAACGTGAAGTCAAGCCAAAGCCAGCGCCAGCCAAGAGCCTCCAAGGAGGGAGCTGGAGCCAAGAAAAAGAAAGGAGGCTGTGGAAGTGGAGGATGACGACAATGAGGAGGAAGAGGACGAGAGGCTGCGCAGGGAGGAGGATCAGAGAGCGGAGCAGCGGGCAAGGAAAAAAGGAGCCAGGGGAGAGGTCGAGCCAGTCGTGCGCGACGGATCGCCCAAAAGGAAGAAGTATGCGGTTCGGTTGGAGGAGGGGTTTGACGTGGAGAGAGTGATCGACCGGATGCTAGAAGAGCACAATGACCTCATGACTCTGAAGGAAATCCTAGCGTCGGCCCCGCGACTCCACGATGAACTAAAGGAGAGATTGTCGCGGCGCCTGGTGCCCAATGTCCATCTGGGTACGATCCTGCCCAAGGAGGCAGAGTGGGCGGAGTCAGGTACGAAGATGGACTGGAAGTGCGTAGCCTGCGGCACAGTGAATTTGGTGGTGAAGGGTTCCAAGTGCGCATCAATGGTGGACACCGGGGCAGAGATGAACATTATTCGGGAGGTGGACGCGATCAGATTCGGGCTGGATATAGACCGTTCCGACTGCGGTATTCTGCACGGAGCTAGCTGCAAGACCGTATTTTGTGGGACAGACTCGAATGTACTCATCGAGGTTGGAAAGGTGAAGGCTCGGACTTGCTTCTTCATCATGCCGGACATGGATCACGCAATCCTCCTGGGAGGTCATTCCTAAGCAGGACGGAGACCGTGATATTCAATAGGCATGACGGGACGTTAATCCTCCTCTTATGCGACCCTGCCTGCGGGAATTACGAAATAATTACCTGCAGGAACACAGGAGGGAGGAGTATAAGAAACCGGCTCAATCAAGGATCTTTCACGATTGAAGAATCGGAAAGTGAGCGTCGGAGGTTCTGGGCAGAGTTGAAGGAGAAGAGAAAGTGGAGGCATTTTCCCTCAGCCTGTCAGATGTTGGGAAGGCGATGGACTTGGTGGCCGCGCATGAAATGGCGGATCCGGATGCCATCCAAACCTTGAGGGAGCAAGTTCTGGAATGCCCCGAGGCAGGAAGGTTGAAGCTGGTATATCGGCTTCTGGGCGGCGGGAGGAGCCCCGCATCAGCGCAGGCGCAATCTGTGAGTCGGCCTTTTTTAGGGGGCGGCTCAAGCAGGGTTCCCAAAGGCGGTACAAGACGGTAGATAAGAAGTGTCGCCCGGTTTCCGTCCTCGTTACAGAAGATGAGGAGGCATACTACGGGAGGGAACGAGGGTTGATACGATGAATGAGGGAGAGTGCTCTAGCAGGGCCATGTCGTATCAACGAAGGGAACGAGGGGAAATTGATTATAGGAGAACCCGACTTCCTACTGTCTCAGGAGCGAGCGTTGATGATGGAGTTGATGAAAAGGAGGCATCGCGCTTATGCTTTTAGCGACGAGGAGCGTGACAGGCTGAATGTGGACAAGATACCTATGATCCACATTCATATCGTGCCACACGAGCCTTGGAACATGAGAAGGGCGCGATATCCTAATCCTGACGAAGAAAAGAAGTTGGTGGATTACCTTGACGACAAAATACGTACGCACGTCGCCGACTATTCGAATGGACCGTATGCCTCCCCATGGTTCTGTTTTATCAAGCCTAACGGGACGCTGCGGTGGGTGCAAGATTTGTAAAGACTGAATGCGGTGACCGTGCGGGATGCTGGAGGATTGCCCAATGCAGACGCGCTGTCAGAATCCTGAGCTGGAAGACCTATAATCTCACTTATAGACCTTTACTCAGTATATGATCAGTTCCCTGTTTACCCGCCGGACAGACCTTTGACGGTTATGCACACACCGCGAGGGCTAATCCACATGAACGTGGCCCCACAAGGGTGGACTAATGCGGTAGCAATGGTCCAACAGGCCATGATTCGGGCTATGCAGTCAGTCAGCCCCCATATCACACAGCCATACATCGACGATTTGGCAGTGAAGGGGTCGGCGGTGAAAGAGAGCGACGAAGTCTCGCCAGGGGTAAAGCGCTTTGTTTGGAAGCACATCCAGGACCTCGAGAAGGTCCTGAGCCTGCTTGAGGAGCATAACCTCACGGCAAGCGGGGCCAAATCCAGACACTGCATGAGGGAAGCGACCATTTTGGGGTTCGTCTGCAGTGAGAAGGGCCGAAGGCCGGATGTGAAGAAGACAGACAAGATTACTGTGTGGCCGGTTCCGTTCCACTCAATAACTGATGTCAGGAGCTTCCTTAGTACGTGTGGATTTTGGAGGGCCTTCGTCAAGAACTTTGCCGCTAAGACTGAACACCTGAGGAAGTTAGTCCGTCAGGATCAGGAATGAGTTTGGGGTGAAGAGCAAGAAGAGGTGGTGACCAGAATGAAGGAAGAATTTCGAGAAGGAGGGTTGGTGTTAGGAGCGCCATATTATGATGCCACAGAAATACGACCCTTCATTGTCGAAACAGATGCGGGGCCAACTACCTTAGGAGGAGTTCTAATCCAGACAGACATAGAGAGAAAGGAAATACCCTTGAGATTTGAGAGTCGGACACTCTGTAAAACCGAGAGAAACTATTCTCAGTTCAAGAGGGAGACCCTTGCCGTCCTCCACTGTCTGCAAATCTTCCGGAACTACATCTTCGGCAGGAGGTTTATTCTGAGAGTGGATCCGACCGCCCTGGCCTACTCTCCAAGGAATTACGTTCCATCGGATCTGACGGTTGCCTGATGGCTGACGTACATCTGGATGTTCAATTTCGAATTGGAACGGATTCCTGACAGTAAGAATTGGGCGGACGGGCTGAGTCGGATCAACTGGGATAAACAGGAAGGGGAGACGATGAAGAATACACCCCCAGTTGATGGATTCCTAGATCAGGAAGAAGATGTTCGTCTCCACATCAACAAGTGGTCGCCGCGAGTACCCAGCTGTGTAGGCTATCCTATCTGGCAAGCGCCGAATGGGTATGAAAGGAGGGCCGAGCTAGTCCTTAAACCCTTCGAAGAAGAGGATCCCTGGGGTGGTAAGAATGTTCAGTGGATGATGGAGTTGACGCTGACCAGTTCGCATAGTCTGGTAGAGGACATGAGGACGATTGAGGAAGGGCCTGGCCAGGTAGAACGGCATGAGGACCTGATGGGAGGAATGTATCTCCTCGTCAACACGTTATTGCAGGAAAACCTCGACCAGTCAGGCTCGTTGAACCCGACAGGGAATGTGGACGAAGTGCCCGAGAGCCAGGACGACGAGTTCGAGGAGGGGGAGATTAAGGAGGCTTTTCGTGCAGAGGAGTATGACGGGATCTACCTAGAGCTGGGGCTTCTTCTGTCATGTGAAATGCGGCTAAGGGATGTAAGCGATAGGGCTCAGAGGATGCTGCAGTGCTATTTAATGCGAGACGACCACCTTTTCGTGAGAAGAGAAGTGGGAAATCTCAGGAGAGTCGTCTGCGGTAGGAATCGTCAGATCGACGTCGTAGCAGGGCTTCATGATGACATTGGAGGAGTGCATCGAGGGGTACAAGCCACGTATGCCAAGATAAGTGCGCTGTACTACTGGGATGAGATGATGGACATGGTCGGGAAGTTCTGCCGATCTTGCGTACCCTGCTAGGAGAGATCCCGTTTAAGGCAAGGAGAGCCGCTGCATCCGAGGCTAGAGCCAGAGGTGGGGGCTGTAGTGCATCTCGATCTACTTTTTATGCCACTTGGGGATCAGGGCTATAACTATATCTTCGATCCGCGCGATGACCTGTCCGGCTTCGTAGACGGGCGAGCTATTCGCACAAAGACCGGGTCAGTCCTGGTAAGCTGCATCGAGGAGTACTATCTACGCTATCCTTTCGTCAGGGAATTCGTAATGGACAGGGGATCGGAGTTTACCTGCCAGGAAGTGCAAGAATTGTTATCAAGGTATGGTGTAGCAGCCAACTACACCTCGACAGCGCACCCCCAGGCAAATGCTCCCGTGGAGAGAGGACATAGTACTATTACGAGCCTCCTGGCTAAGTGGACCGAAGGTAGGCCTAATCAATGACCAAGATACCTAAGGGCGACGTTCTTTGTCGAGAACATTACAGTAAAAAGATCCACCAAGTATGCACCGGCGACGCTGTGGTATGGAAGGCACGCCACCTTCCCTATGGAGAGCTTCCTTACGACATGGAGGCGCCATGATCTGGAAGTTAGCCTGTCGTTCGAAGAATTGCTCGATATTCGGGCGCGGCAGATAGGGGCGATAGAAGAAAGGATCCAGGAGGCGTTCGATCAGGTGGCTAGCAGCCGAATGGATGATTAGACTCGATGAGATCAGTCTGCGCGGGTGAGGAAAGTACCTTTGGCAGTTGGGGATGTCGTGCTCCTCTGTGATTCATCTTTGGAGAAGCAGTGATCCAGGAAACTCGATAAGAGATGGTTAGGTCCCTACCGGATCGTACGGGTTGGAGACTTCGGAGCATTCCAGATTGAAGAGCTAAATGAGACTGAGTGGAAGGATTGGGTATCTGGGACGCGACTAAAGAAATTTGTGGTGAGAGAAGAGGTAAGAGAGATGACCTGACTGCCTTTAGAATAGAAGTAATAGGGTGTGTAGGTTAGGTAGAATGCATGCTGTATAAGTGTGGCCTGGTCTGAGATTGCTTTGATTATCACCTGTTTTGCTTACCCCAATGTGTGCATGTTGTCTCTTTCGCCTGTTGTGCAGGTCTGACTTTACGAAGAAAATCATGCCAAGAGGAGGGAAGGGGACACGACCGCCTCAGAGGCCGTTGGGCGCATCAGGGGGATATGAGCGGCATGGGCCTCGCCGTCGAGAGAGCACTCCAGAGTACGACGGTGACGATATCGAGCTATTCCTAGACAGCTTCTGGGAGCATGTGCGGCGTATGGGTTGGACTATGACCCAGCGGATTGAGAGGCTCAGGGGAGTCGGTAGATTCGAGGAGCCCGTTGCACGGATCCATAGAGAGGCGACGACGAGGTCAGAGGTGGAGTTGAGGATGCAGGAGCTGCGACCCTTGCCTGTGGGTCCTGATGGCAGGCCGATCCGCCTGGAGATTAGAAATGCGTCGGACTTCATCCCCGCGTTTGAGTGGTTCATGCAGGGGCAGGGTATACCGAGAGACGATTGGATGCAGACATTACCACTCTGGACCAGGAAGGCGGAAAGACCACTAGCTAGGCAGGTTAGAAGCATGGTCCGAGACTAGGAGAGCTGCAGGGCACATCTGAGAGAGGCCTTTCGACGGCCAGAGCCCCCTCAGCCCAGAATTGAGAGGCGTAAGAGGAGTCAGAGGCAGAGGGACCCTGAGCCTAGGGAGGCGAGACCATCTCGAGGAGGAGGGAAGGCCCTAGCCAGGAGAGAAGAGGAACCAGAGCCGGAGCCAGAGGCTGAGGAGCGAGGGGCATACCCTGAGTGTGGGTTGGGACCAGTGGAGTTCCATTGGTTTATCGAGGGTGGATTGAGGAGGTCGCCAGCACACACACAGGAGGAGCCGCCAGCATCTGAGGGGCCCTTGAGGGAGTCGGAGACGCATTTGGATATCTCTCGGTGGAGGGCGTCGCCTCGGGTTGAGGAGCATGGAGAGCAGGCAGAGGAGGTGCCACGAGAGGAGGTGACACGAGAGGAGGTGCCACAGGAGGAGGTGCCAAGAGAGGAGGTGCCACAGAAGGAGGTACCACGAGAGGAGGTGCCACGGGAGGAGGTCTAGGATACTCAGCGAGAGAGAGGGCTGGGCGATGAGGGGAGACGTGCAGGGAAGGAAGTGATAGAGGTTGGAGAGGACACGCCCCCACAGACACCAGCGGTGGGTTTGAGACTCGGGGATGCACCAGGGAGCACTCGGCAGGCAGGGGAGAGGTTGGAGAGAGAGGAGGGCCCATTGCCTTCATCAGAAAAGGCCCCTTCGCCAGAAGGGAGAGCAGAAAGGAGGAGAGAGAGGGCTAGCAGCTCATGCCCTGGAGCACCCAGACCTGGAAGAGCCAGCGCCTGCAAAGCCGCGCCAGGAGCCGTGCCAGCCCGAGAAGGAGATGGAGGCAGAGATCCCGAAGAGGGTCGACCTCCGCACGAGGGAAAGGGCGCCAGCTGGAGAGACAACAGAGGAAAAGAGGGCGAGAAGAACTAGGAGGATAAATGAGATATGGCAAGAGAGGCATAGGTTGGAGGCAGTGGGGGAGCTTCCGGAGCAGTAGCAGGAGAGGCAGAGATCGGAGGCAGCAGGAGCACTCCCAGGTCAGCCACCCAGCGCGCCAGCTAGGGCCCCGGAGATCGCTGAGATGTGGAGGGATTTCTGGGAGCAGAGAGGAGAGGAGCTTCCTTCGCCAGTCAGAGCCGGGTTTGGGGTAGCAAGAAAGGCGGAAGAGAGATTGGATCGAAAAATCAAGTTCCCGGCCAAGACAACTTTTGACCGGCACTTGTTATTGGAGGGCGATCTGGCAGGGAAAAAGATAAAGGAAGCAAGTCATGGAGTACGCCTGGAGGCTATGGAGATGGAAATCCAGGAACTTAGGGCATTGGTGGCCAGCCAGGCAGCTATCATTGAGAGCCTGAGGCAGCAAACCCAGGGAAAGGTGGACAAGCCAGAGAGCAGCAGGCAGGGAGAGCAGAGGCAGCCAGGACATGGATTGCCAGGACAACCATCTGCAGCAGAGCCTCGCCAGGGGCCACCTACGGGGAGGGTTATCCTAGAGCCAGAGGAGGCGAGAGCCCAGAGACAGGCGGAGAGAGAGGCATTTGAGTTCAGATCCCCTACCGAGCTCGCGACGCTGCCAGTGGCGGCGGCGGACCCAGTCGTACCTTTGGCAGTAGAGGAGGGGCGGCCACCATCTAGCAGTGAGCCGGCTCAAGGCTCAGCAGAGGGATCCATGGGTGTGCTCCTTGAGGCGGTGCATACTATGCAGAAAGAGGTGAGTTTGTTTTCACCCGAGCAGAGGATAGAGGAGCCTCTTGAGAGAGAGATGGGGATTGAGACGGAGGGTGCCATCGAGGGCGGACCTTAGAGGTTGGGCACGCGTGAGTATGGACCAGAGGAGATTGAGGAGCAGCCCATGGCAGTGCCAGGAGAGACACTCGAGAGGAGACCTCAGAGGTTGGACACGCCTGAGTACGTCCCAGCGACAGGGGATTTGAGGAGCAGACTGGGATCTTGGGCTACAAGATCTGGGTCTGGGGGACCGGTTCCTGGGATGGAGCAGTAGGAGGTTGTTAGTACCACAACCCCTCGATTAGAGCAGCAGGGGGTGGTCAGTACCTTGGTAGGATCTCCTTCATCGCCACCTCCTCAGCCCAGGAATAAGAAGTTCAAGAGGAAGGTTGATCAGCTATGCTTCTACTGCAAGAGGGGCATGCATCTGACTCTGGACTGTCACGAGTTTCTTGAGGATAAGGCAGAAGGGAAGGTCTCAGAGGCAGGGGGTAAGATGTATGATAGACAGGGTAGGATAGTAGAGAAGTCCGCAGATGGACTTAGGGTTCAGTTATATAGGCAAAACCAGGAGGAGTTGAGGAGGTAAGGCCGGTTTGTCTATGTAGGTGGGCGAGTATTTTGTGAGGCATCAGCTTAGGTTCTGTGTGATACCCTCTTAGACTTAGAGGACCTTTTGATGATTGCTACTAGTCTAGATTTGAACTCTAGTATTCCTACTAAGATGGGGTCTTGAGGATCAGGGTGATTTAGATGAGGCATGTATATATTTAGGTGGCCTACGCCCTGGCCTTTGAGAGGCAGATCTGACATGTATTCTAGGGGTTGTTGTCGGTGTGGGTTTGGTGTGACTTGAGTTGAGTGAACTATGATTTGGGGACACTTTCTGTGTGAGACTTTTTATTTCCTGAGTGTATATTATGATGAGGTTTTCTTCAGGGACCATTCTTATATGTGACGATCACTTGTCTCTCTCACATGTGTGGTTATGCTCTGATGTATGATGAGTTTGTACGAACAATGTGTGAAGAACCTTTTATGTATCATGGGTACTGTGAATATGATTGTAAGCAAAACTGTCTACTCCTCGGTATACTTGTGCGATCTGCCCACGGGAAGCTGATAGGGCAGAGTATAAGGGAAGAAAGCGCAGCCCGTCTGTGAAAGGTTGTGAGGATTTTGAAGATCTATGAGCCCTGGAGGCTCAAAATGCTTACCATTTTGATTATTGATTGCCTAAGTTGTGATGAGGACCCATAAGATGGTCTCTCAGTGATTTTGTTTATGATAAGCCCCCTTGGATTTTGGAAAAGGGGATGTTTTGTGATGTTGTGTGTTATGATGAGACCCCCTCGAGTTTTTAGGACGGAAAGTTTGGTTTTTATGGCGAGACCCCTCGTGATTTTTTGGAAGAGGGGGTGTTTTGTTCTGTGGCGAGAACCCCTTGGAGTTTTGGAAAAGGGGATGTTTTTGTTGTTGGAAGACTCACCTTCAAAAGTGAGTAAACTGATTTATGGCATGAAAAATTGTCTGATGAGTGATAAGAGTCTGACGAAAAGGGCCACTTTTGTTTCGAATGTTTGAGAAAGTCGCAATGAGTGCAGGGCGAGAGATGTCTCAGGGCGTGTGGTTGGTGACTTTGATCAAATCAGGGGTCACGGCCTGGTGGATTTAGCGGTGATTTTGTTTGTAAGCGTGCGAAGGATGTCATGCCTAGTGAGGGAGGGCTAGTAAATGCCTTCAGACCCTTGCGTATCGCGCAGTGGGCCAGTGATTTTGTTTTGCGACGCCCCGTCTAACCACAGGTGTTAATTCTGAGACATATTGAAGAAAGGTGAAGCTAACGGAAAAGAAGTTAGTACCTCTAGGGGGTTAACCCCATTGGATGGCTGCTAGCCGGCGCAACCTGGCAGCGGGACCGCGTGGGTAAGAGTTTAAGGGGGGGTGCCCGCCCCAGTGAAATTACTCCGCGGGATAGTGATGGTTGATAATTTGTTGGGGGAAATCCTGATTGAATGCTTATCAAGAGAAAACCTATCGTTGCGTAACCAACGAGGGTACTGCTGCTAAATAACAATGCGATGGGCCGTGGTCCTGGTCCGATCAGCCAGGCTATGGTGGACCAAGGTGGAGACCTAACCTTTCTGTACTAGATTGCAGAAAAAACTGAGTGGATATTAAGTATACATATATACTTATGTGTATTTGATTGCGAGAGATTTTGAAAAGGAAGGCGAGAGTGCCTTCAAAAGGTCTCGATTAAGGCCCGCGTCCCTAGTTTTTGCCAGGACTAGGGACACCCAACGAGAAGTCAAAGGTTGTCTAGAACCGAGGAGAGGATGATTGGGAAGGTCTTTGGAACTTATGCGGTGAGCGTCCTCATTTATGGGCGGTGAGAGGCCCAGGTTAGAAACCTGGCAGCATATAGTTGTGGAGGCCTGTTTTCATGGAGGCCTCTACCCTGTGTTTGTCGGTTAATCGGATTGGTTCCTTTCTCGTCAGCATTTGGAGTGTGGATGGATTTATAGCATTCTGATTTGGCGAAGCGACGGGGACATCGCTTAAAATGGTCCGGTAAGCTATCGGCGCGAATACCCTTACAAAGGTATCCGCCCTGGTTTTTGCAGGTGACAAAGGTTTGACCTAAAGTTTAAGTATACCGCGCTAGGCGCGGTTGTGTCTGTGGTTACGTTGGCTGGGCGGCTGACTAGAGTACAGAGTGCGTGAGCGCGCAGGTTTAAGGCGCGCGTGATTCATCCCTTGATGTTGATTACGAAACCGGCGCAGACGCTGGTCTGTTTATTTTTATTTTTATCTTTATGTTTTTATTTTTGGCTACTCATGATCAAACTAGGATCTAGGGGATATTTTCTTTCGATGGCTACGCTTGACCGAGTCGAGCGTGTGCGCGGAAGACGAACCCGACGACGGGATCAGCAACGGCGGCGCGACTTCGTGTGGTGAGCAGGGTGTTGTAGGATGGCGCGCAGGGCGATTATGGCACGGTATAAGCGAGCCGGCGCGGGCACTGGGAGCCGCGCGGCCGGTTTGTTGGCCCAAAGCGCCGTGCCGCACTGCCTTGTATGGTACTCTGCGGGCATTAGTCTCAGGCTTGGGCTTAGCCCTATAGGTTACGATATTGGGTTGACGACACGGAGGTCCGGGGATCGAGGCCAGCAGGGCGTCGGCGCAGCGGCTGCAGCGGAGTGTCCCAGAAGGGACCGATGGGGTTGAGGGCCGTCAGGGTTATCCCCCTCGGTTTTGTTTTCGGGCGCACCAGCAGCTCACGCGGTTTTTCCGATACTATTGCTATTTTATTTTATTTGCCCTTTGTGTTTTATTTATCGCGTCCCGTTCGGGGACGCGAGACGGCAATGGGATCGCATGGGCGGTGTCGTATTCACGGGATTGTCTGAAGTACACTTACAAACTGTCGTCGTGATTGCGCTGAAGTACTCCTTCATTGTATTACGGGGAGCACCGTAGCAAGCCGCATCCGTGCTCAAACCTCCAATGAGGGAACATGCGGGAGGCCGCGACAGTACTGGCTATGCGGCCCCGACCGTCCCGCGCAAGCGTTCGCATGGAACCCCTTCATGAAGATCTCATTTGAATATTTGCTAACACCACTAGGACAGTGCCCGGCCTGTTCAGACCCGTACTTAGGCTTGCGACAGGCCGGCGCCTGCGACATAATGGTCAGCAGACTGTGTGGGGCTTGCCCACTGGGAACCCAAGGCGGTGGGAAGCTTTGCCTGAGGGGAACGGGTCAGGCCGAACTTGGAAAGGGCACGTAGCAGCACCAAGCGAGTCGCACCGTGGGGCTTGGGCAAAAAGGTGTAGGGGCGAAAGATTAATCAAACCACCTAGTAGTTGGTCGCGTTCATCAGGGCAGCGAGAGCCTGTCGAACGGGGCATCCGTGGGACGGCGCGGTGCAACCGGAGTCTGGCGTTAGTGGACGAAGGGAGAAAGGGCGTTAGCGGAACCGTGGAGACCGAGGGTGAACTTGGACGTGACGCTGGGCCGGGTGCGTGCGGAGTAGGAGAGCGCAGACCAAAGGGGGGGGGGGCATAGCAGGGCTGCGATAAGTTACGGGTCATATGAGACCCGCCTCAGCGCAGGCCTTCAAACGTTCTCGTCTGAATAACTGGTCTTCTCACTGAGATCCGCGCTGGAACCCGCTTCACTAGGCTCACACTGCGGACGTATGCCATAAGCCCGCGTCTCCGCCAGGTACCATGTTGGGGCCGCCACTGCAGCCAAGCGTAGGTAGGGCCACAGCACCATCCGCTGTCGAGCAGATCGGTTCGGCAGACGAGTGGTACACACTCCTTAGCAAAATCCGACATTCACTACTACGGGCCTGCTATCCCTGTTGATCACCGATCGTTGAAGTATTCGGGTTAGCGCACGGTCGGGCGTTATCAGGAGTTAGTAGAGGAAGAAGAGACCTGACAACGTAGGAGGGAATAACCAGAGCAAGAGGGAGGCGAGGTGTGACTGTGCGCAGCGGCAGGAGGGCAGTGTATAGGCGTAGACGTGGAGTAGGTAGCAGCGGAGGCAGATCGGGCGGACGGGAGGCCGGACGCAACAACGGAGAGGGAAGTAAAAGTGGGAAGGAATCCGGGCGCGTTTCCGCGCCGGATTCATTTGAAGGAAGGAGCTATGAACCGGACAAAGGCTGAGGGCAGGGTAATGGAACAGGTCGGGCAGTAAAGGAGCGAAGGCGCTGAGCAGGGGAGCGGGCGCAGCATTGGCCTATGACGCAAGGAGCGCCTGCGCCGAACTTCTGAAGGATGAACCTGGCCGGGTTCTGCGTCAGGGTGCGTGGGAATAAAAACAGGTAATAGCTATGGGTGGAAAAAGGATACTTAGCGCACTCGATCCTTATCGGGATCGGGTGAACTTAAGTAGTAAACGGGGCTGTTACTGGGTGGCGAAACTGAGTGTGTGGTTAGATTATGAAGAAAGTTAGTGAGAAAGGAGGGGTGAAGGAAATGGCGGGCGCGCAAGTGACGAAGTGGGTATGACAGGAACGAAAAAATGGTGATACCTCGCTCGATTCGTGGCGGAATCGGGCTAGGAAAGGAGTAAAACAGAGGT